AAAGTCGTCATGTGCTCTTTTTTTAGCGAGAAGACCAAAACACCCTCAAAAAGAGAATTTTTTTTTAAAAAAAAAAAACCACAAACCTGAAAAAAAAAAAAAACCAAGAAAAAAACAAAACCAAACTCTTCCATCATCAACATTACTGGACAAAACCAAACTTTTTGCTATGTTCAATCTTTGATTTAAAAAAGCAGATATAAAACATGCAATATGGTAATTAGACAAATAATTAATATATGTTCTTTCAACTCCCCAGCTTCCTACTAAACGAATATGAAATAACATCCTACAAAAAAAAAATTATTTGTAATGCTCTCCATTCTTTAAACATATATACAAGGTATGCAACCAAAATTACTCATGGCTTAGCTAGAAGAGAGAGGGAGAGCACCAAGACAATGAACTTATTACTAATTTTAATTTATCTCAACGTCATATCTGTCTATTATCTATTAAAAAGAGGAAAAAACTTTAAAATATTTCCTAAATATTTTAGAATAATATATATGTCCTGACTTTTGATTAATATAAAAAAGTATTTGTCATGTTTTTAAAGGAATAAAAAAGTACTAACATTAAATTTGATCACGTAGAAAACTTGGGGTTGTTTTTTTATAATTTTGAGTTAAGGTGATTTGAGTGATGATTTTGAGTTGAGTTTGAGTTATAACTTGAGTTGAAGTTGTAAGTTGAGTTTGTGTTTCTATGTGCACATTTGAGTTATGATTTAAATTGAGAATCTTTTTGAGTTTGTGTTTGAGTTAGTCAAAACTTAAATTTGTATTTAGATAGTATTTTAAAAAAACTCAATGGTGATGAAAAATTTTAATAGTGTATATGGGTGGAGTTTTATTCGTATTTTCGTTGTGAATGCATAGAAAAAAAAATCATCTCAATCAGAATTAAAACGAAAAAGTTATGACATTTTTAAAAATAGAAAAAATATTGTTCATTAATTTGAGTTCGAGTTTCTGAACTTGAGTTGAAGGGAAAACTTGAACTCGAATTTAGCCCTAAACTCGAGTTCAAATTTTAGTTCACACTTAAATTTTATAAAAGAACATAAACTTAAATAAAATTATAACTTGAGTTCAAAATTTTTCTGAGTTTTATTACAAAAGAATAATCCCTAATCTTTGGGCTGAGAGCTAGGGCTGTAAGAAATCACCCCGAACCCGGCCGAGCCGAGCCGACCCTACTCAAAAATCACGGGTTTCTAATTTTTTATTTAATTTTTGGTTTTAATTATGCCTAACCTGCACTGCGCGGGTAGGGGCGCGGGGTGGGGTTACATGAACCTGAGGTAACCCTACCCGGCCGAACATGTTCAAAGTAGGTAAAACAATGTCCAACACTTCAAATTCTTACTTTCATAAGTTTATGGACTTTATACTTTTAAACTGTTAACTTATTTATGTTTTGGATTCACGGTTTGTGTAAAAAATGCTTGTATGCCATAGTTGTTGAATTAGGACATTTTTTATTTATATTGGAAGTGTTTAACTTTAAAGTGAGTGTTTTAATTCTTCACCTTGTATTATGCCGCAATTTTGTTGCGTAATTATTTACTACAATAGTATTTGCATATATCATTTATTGCTCATTTACTATAATAGTATTTTATCATTTAGTTGCATATAAGAGCCTCTTAAATTAAAATTAGTTTTTACCAACTCGATCCTACCCGAGGTCACCCGAAAGGTTGCGGGTTTGTAGACTTAAGAGAGTGTTGCGGCCCAAAATTTTCTCAACCCGCACTGGTCGGGTAGGCTCAATTTTTCGGCTCAACCCTATCCTACTCGGCCGATTTAAACCTCTACTAAGAGCCCAACAGAACTTCAACCATCACACTTCCTTTAAATATCTTTTCTTTTTTCTTCCAGACCGACGTTAATAAATGCGTAGTTTTATTAGAGCCTAAAAAATCACTCTTTTGTTTAATTTTTGAAAACTGATAGAATGTTAAAATAAGATTATTTTGTTTGAAAGAGGTACATAAAAATTACTTTCTTAGCTCATAACACCTAAAGCTTTCTTTTATTATTCATAAAGTGTTTCAACTCTCTAGAAAAACTTTCGATCAAAACCACAAAATAAGAATTTTTAGAAAAAAAACTCCTTTGAATATTCTGTTTAAAACTATAGCAGAGTTTAATAAGGGTTCGTTTAGTTCGTTAATTCGAGTTGAGATGTAATTTTATATGAGTCTTTTTGCTATAGTAAAAAAGTTAGATGTGATTGTTTATGAGAGTTTTTTACTGTAATAAAACTCAAATTTCTCTTGTTGAGACAAAAGTCCTCAAACTAAGAGAACTTTGTAAAGAGTTTGGCCAGCAATAAAAGTATGAGTTTCTAAATTCCCTTTTTCTTCCTCTCTGAAATTCTAAGTTCCATTCCTTATATCATAACTGTTCTTTTCTTAACTAGTATGCTCCGTGCTTGCCTCTAGTAGATGATCATGCACATCAGAAAATTTAAGCCTTAGATCTTTACTACGATCTCCATGATCATGAGTGATGAACACCTGTAGCACTAATGCTATGTTTGGTAGGAAGGAAAGAAAATAGGATAGAAAGGAAATGTGAAAGTGATGGAAAATAGTAATGATGAAAATGAAAATGATTTTCTTTTATGTTGTTTGGTATGAGAAGATGAAAAGAAAATGAGTTTACTTTCACTTGTTTGGTATTGGAAGTTAAATTAGGAGGAAAGAAAAAATCTTACTCGTAAATTACTTTTATACCCTTAAATTTTTTGCTTGGATGTTGATGGAGAAAAGGGTAATTTAGTAACTTTGCTCACTTTAATGAGTTGTCCCCATTTTTCATCTCATTTTCTACCCACTTGTGAAAAGAAAAAAAATGGTAGGACCCACATGTATTATTTTTCACTCAATTTTCTCTTCCTTTCTCTTTTCTCTCCTACTAAACAACCTATATTTTCATTTTTCCTTCCAAAATTCCTCCACCTTCTTCCTTCCTTCTACTTTTTTTTCCTACCAAACATACTATAAAAGTCAAAAATCAAGGTGGACGCATGAAATAAACGGGGCCTGAAACATTACGAATTTCATTCCAACATTTTCTATTGATTAGTAGGAATTAAGAAAATGAAATGAAGTGGAAGTTGAACTCACTTTCATAAGTTTGACCCGGTGGGAGTTTGGAAAAGTAAAAGTAGGTGAGCTAAAGGCCGTTTTATCGCTTCACATTTCCCTCCACCACCCAAACATTAACGTCTTCTGCCTCATCCTTGCCTTCTATTTCTGCGAAATTCCCCTCACCTTTACTTTTCTTGCGTAAGTGAAAAACAAAAAAAACCCAAAACCAATGAATAAAAAGTAAACAAATAAAGAAAAAAAATCCTTGTTTGCCTTTATTAGTTTTCTTTCCAAACGAATAAAGAAAAATCCGAACGAATAAAGAAAAGTCCTTGTTTGCTTTGTTTCCAAACGCGTAACATTTTTATTTTTGTCCTCTTCAAAAAAAAAAAAAAAATCTTGCTTCAGTTTATTCACGGACCTAAACCAAAAGTAATTGACAATACTAATACTATTTTATTATTATTTTGTTTAGTCTTCTTCTTCTGGAAGGTAAACGACACCAGATTCTGATCGTTTTAAGAAGGTGCAAATTCCTTCGTTCATTTCTCCAAAATTCTTTTCTCCTCTGTTCCTCTCTCTGTCTCTCTCTCTTCCGAAGATTGAACTTCAGGTTTGAAATTTGTTCTTTGATTTTTCCTGAATTGCGTTTTCTTCCTTTAATTTTCGCTATTGTCTCAGATTAAATTCGATAAATTCGAATGCGATTCCTCTTACGCGTTAATCTTATAAATGCGTCAAATTGACGAGTTTCCTTTGAGCTCGGATCAATATTGCTTCAATTTGTTGTTCATTTGCTTATGAGAAGTAATTTGATCATTTGTTTGTGAGAAGCAATTTGATTATTGGATTACCAGAAGTGATTTTAGTCATAATTGTTGCTAATCATCAGTTTAGAGGTATTAAGTTTATTAATTTCAACAATTCTATAATGCATATCTGTAATTTAATGCAGTTTTTCACTTTTCTTCTCTTCATTTCCATTTTCTCGAGAAGAAGACTCAGGTCAACATTTCTTAGAGATTTTAGTAAGCTTGACTTTGGAAATATAGTTGAATATATACGATCAATTGTCAAGAAACGGGCCTTAATTGTGCGTTGGCAACCTGTAATTATTGAAGCCAGTTTATGATAAAAAAAAATTTGAAAAAAAAAAAAAAAAAACTTAAGCTGGTTAAGCTATTAGACAAGATCATTGTAGGAGTAAATATCATTTTCTACTTTTATGACTAGTTATATATGTATTATATTTTTTTGGGCTATTATAGGCATTTGCAATGATGTAGTAGCAACTTTTGTGGCTAGTTATTTATTTAATTATTATTATTTATTAATTATTAGCATTGGTAACCTGTTATTATGGAACTGATGTGGGATCTAATAGCCTATGCACCTAACCGGTCACGTTTGCTGAATTGATTCCCTTATTTTTAAGTTTCCTATTCCTTTTAGTTGCTGATCTTCTTAATTACCTATTTACTAGTGACCCAAATTCTCTTGTTTCTTTTTCTTGTCGATGTCTATATAATAGATTCAACTACTATATTTTCTTTGCTACAAATCTAATCAATAATATTTTCTGAAGTTTATTTAGTTTTCTTTTAGTTTTTCCTGTTTAATCAAGGACCCAATTCTGCTGCACCAGGAACACTAGTTGATGGTTTTTTCAGAAAATAAAAGCTGAAGCTGTCTATAGCTACTAATTTCCACTTATGTGACTTGTTATGTATGATTTTTGCATCTTCTTCCATGTAGTCTTTGTTGTGCCGTTTCCGACTAGGCTGCTGTGATGGGGTGGGGAAATATCTATAGAAGACGCATGAAAGTTTTCACCGTGGCTTTGATAGTATACTTTGATTACAAGGTAACTTCCTGGATTGCTTCTGTCTCATTTTCCCTCTTATAAATAGAAGATTATTGCACCTCTTTTGTTTCTAATCTCCTTTCTTCTTTGTTTTTGTTTATTCTAAAAGGCTTTACAACAAAGAGAGAAATTGACAAAAAAATCTAAAAGGGCTGCTTTATGGGAAAAGGCTCACGAGCGGAATGCGAGACGCATCCTCAATTTGATAGTAGAGTTGGAAGGTTTGTGGGTAAAGCTTGGGCAGTATCTATCTACACGTGCTGATGTGCTTCCTGGGGCTTATATTAGTCTTCTCAAGCAGTTACAGGACTCTCTTCCTCCACGTCCTCTTCAAGAGGTTATCTACTCCAGTATCCGAGCTTTGCAATTTCACATAATGTAGAGATATTCATATGATTTTGCTAGTTACATATAGTGCCTGTAGTCCCTCTAATCTCTATTGGTCAGCTGAGGACTGTAATTTCTGGCTTCAATGTTCTCCTAGAGAAATCTGTTTTCTTGCCTAATTTTATGGATCTTGCTGTTTCAGATTGTATTTTTCGTTTTGAGGCATATATGCCAACTGTTAGCCAGTATTTTGTGGTTGGCATTTTAAAATTTGTCAGGGAGACGATTCATAGTGAGTCTATGAATTACTACCAAAATTTCTTTTGATAAGCATGGTCCGGTGTCAAATTTTTGTAAGTCGTTGTTTACGCTTATTTGTCTGGAATTTTGCATCAGGGCGATCCTATGTTTGTGTCTATTAGACATCATTTTGAGGTACTCAATTCACTAAATTGGTTATTTGTTTGGACAGGTTTGTCGGAGTATAGAGAAAGAGTTGGGGAAATCAATGGATGAACTGTTCTCAGAATTTGTGGAAGTTCCTTTAGCAACCGCATCAGTAAGATCCTTGGACTGTAGCAGTTGACCAAAAGATAAATATCATTTAGCTTAGAGCAGCATTCATTTGTTCTCTTTCCCAGCATTTTTTTTTCCCGAGGGAATTCATGTTACTGATGGCTAATTCATGTTTATGCAGATAGCACAAGTGCATTGTGCGATTCTGCTGAATGGTCAGGAGGTGGTTGTTAAAGTTCAACATGATGGTATCAAGACCGTTATATTAGAGGTTGGCATGCTTGGCTTCATGGTTGTTAGTGAAATAGTAAATTTAGGTTACCATATTTTGTTAGGATGAAAAGGTTATTTTGGTGATCATCTGTTGTTGGCACTTGGGTGTACTATTGTTGTACAGGACTTGAAGAATGCGAAGTCAATAGTTGACTGGATAGCATGGGCAGAGCCTCAATATGACTTTAATCCTATGATAGATGAATGGTGCAGAGAAGCTCCCAAAGAACTTGACTTCAATCATGAAGCTGGTATGCTTTTCTCTGTCTGACTTAGTGATGTAGGACCAAGATAAAGGAGAGAGAAGAATAGAATCAAGATAGAGAATAAGAACCACTAGAAAGATAGGAATAGAATCATTAGAGAGAAAATAGAGGATTTTAGTGAGAAAACAAGAACTAAATAGGAGGAAAACCACTAATCTCAATATATATTTTTTTGGTAGAAACACTAAGCTCAATATTCATTCTGCCTTCTCTGCCTTCTGCCTTCTATTTCATTACTTTAAAGCTTGTGTATCAAATAGTAATTTGACTACACCATCCTTCTCCATGGCTTGTTTGCAACTTGCAGCATCAATCCATTTTACGTTTCTTTGTTTTTGTAGAGAATACTAGAACAGTGTCCAAAAATCTTGGCTGCAAAAATAAATCTGATGAGAACGTGGGCACAAATCAAGTGGATGTTTTGATTCCGGAGGTTATTCAGGTACTATTTGCCTTACCTAATAATACTGTAGGAGTTGTAAGCCAGATTATAATTGAGCTGGAACGTAGACAAGTTGGGGTTAATCTGTGGTTTTAGAATTTGAGATTGATCTAGGTTTCTCTTTAATGTTCAAATTTTGAGAAAAGAGAATGTAGATGTGGGGCAGAACAGGAATTTAATTATAGCAGAGTGCTAATTTAACTTTATAACGGAATGTCAGTTTGTCAGAAGGTTTTGAGGATTTTCAATTTCATTTTTTTTTTCATTTTATTTTTATTTGTTTAATGTTTGTCCACATCCTAGGAGCTTAAGCTTTTGGGAAAATTTATAAACAAATGTCGTGCAATTGTTTGTCATTGAGGATGCTAAGTATTAAGAAACCATTTGAAGAAAGTAAGCCTGCAGATCTGCTCTGAAAATGGGCCCAAATTTTGGCTTTAATAAAGTTTAAGTATTTTCTTTGTTGAATAACTGAAGCATCAGTCTCTTATCAAATTAAACATTTGGTGGGGTACATCTGCATGATGACGGAGGGTTTTGCTTATATTACATTTTACCTAATCTATACTGGTATATGACTTCAATGGATTCTGTTCCTTTTCTTTCTTGGATATAATATACCAGATTTTCATTTTCATCTAAGATTTTTGTAATTATGTTACTTTCAACGACAGTCAACAGAGAAACTCCTCATTTTAGAGTATATGGATGGCATTCGTTTGAATGACTCTGAATCTCTGGAAGCTTATGGGGTTGACAAACAAAAGGTCGTTGAAGAAATCACCCGTGCATATGCCCATCAAATCTATATTGATGGATTCTTTAATGGTGACCCTCATCCCGGTAAAGGCTCCTTCTCTTCTCCACTTTATTCTCTTTTTCTCAAACTATTTTTTTTTTATCTGATTGAATCAAACTATTAGTCCAGAACATTTAGTTTCATTAAAATTCTATTAATCTTTCAAAATAATATGCGATTTTAAACTGGTTTCTTGGGTTCTTTGATACAGGTAATTTTCTTGTGAGCAAGGAACATCCACATCGCCCAATTTTACTTGATTTCGGGCTCACCAAAAAGCTGTCCAATTCTTTCAAACAAGCTCTGGCGAAGATGTTTTTAGCTTCTGCAGAGGTTTGTCCAACATTTTTACCATCTTTAAAGTAAAAACAAAGCTATTTTTTGTTCTAGATGAGTAGGTTGATGGATGGTTTATTGATTGTGGTCTTCAGACCTTGGCTTTCTAAGTCTTTGAGTAGGTGTCTTGGCATGAGACAACGATTTCTCCTTTATCTCTTTGCATCTTTCTTATTGGTCAACATATTTTACTGCTTTTCATAGACATGGGACTAGGTTAAATACATCTACTGTAACTAGAACCGAATCAATATGTATAGTTGGGTCTTACTGGTTTGACTTGCGTAACAGCAAGGGGTAGTGGCTGCTGAAACTTCTGAAACTAAAGAACATTCCTTCACTACTTATCATATGGAATCAAATGACCCTATACAATTAAATAATCTATGATACCTTTGATACTTTTATTACAGGGGGATCAAGTGGCTCTTTTGTCTGCTTTTGCGGAAATGGGACTTAAGTTGCGGTTGGATGTGCCGGAACAGGCGATGGAGGTGATAACTGTATTCTTTCGTGCGACAACTTCAGCAAAGCAGTCTCTTGTAAGTATACCCTACATCTGTGATTATGCTTTGTTTTGACTTTCCTGATACTTTTTCTCTTACCTTTTAGTCCTCTCTCGGTCCATTCATTCATTTATTTATTAATTCACTTTGACATTTATTTTTCTTTAAAGGAAACTGCTAAAGCTTTGACTGAGCAAAGAAACAAGGGCATGAAGGTTATACAGGAAAAGATGAAACTCAACCAAAGAGAGGTTAAACGTTTCAATCCTGTAAGTTCATGTCCAGCTCTTCTTGTCCACAGGTTTTCCTCTTCTTTGTTCATTTTCTGGTTTCTTCATGCTATATCTAGTAACGTCATCTTTTTTCAGATTGATGCTTTCCCTGGTGACATTGTAATATTTTCACGGGTCCTTAATCTACTTAGAGGTGTGTACTTGAACAATTTAGTAGTGAGTAGTAACATATATTATCACCTCTCTAACAATGTTCTTGTGACATGAATAATAGGTCTTTCCTCTACAATGGATGTGCGCATTGTATATCTTGACATTATGAGGCCATTTGCTGCATCCGTGTTGGAAGGGTGAGTTTGTCCTAATCCTCAATCTTGTTAGTCCACATTTATTGTTTGAATTTTCAATATATTTCTGACTGAACTCCCGTGGATGTTATCAGAAACATTGAGAAGGGACCAAAGGTCAATGATCAGTGGATCTATGACTCGCCTCTTCACTCTAATTTGGAGGCAAAGATAAGGCGACTCCTGTTGGAGCTGGGAAACAATGAAAAAATTATGGGAATCCAGGTGCGATAAGATTGCAAGTTTACAGTTGGATTTTGCAAGAAGAGATCTAACACTACTTGTCAGGGGAAAAAAAAGGCAAAAAGATGTGTTATGCAATCACCTTGAAAAGTTGTTTCTAGGAGCATTACAAAATTAATGAGTTCCCGTTCGAATCACTGTCATTGATATGCTTTGGAAAATTCCTTGCAAATTTATCTACATAGTATCAAATGTGGTAGATATTACTTTAATTACGAGTTAAATTTAAAAAAAAAAGACAATTGTCTATTTTTTTTCCTTTATTTATCTGATTGGTAATTAATTCTCTCTATTCATCTCTCTCTCTCTCTGTCTCTCTGTCTCTCTGTAGATATATATGTATCTCTCTGTTTCTTTCTATATATATATGTCGCTTATTTTCACTGAATTTTGATTTTAATCAAATACTTTATGATTATGTTAAGGTATGTGCCTACAAAGATGGAGAGGTTATCATTGACACTGTTGCTGGAGTGCTCGGTAAATATGATCCTCGTCCAGTTCAACCTGACAGTCTCTTTCCAGTTTTTTCTGTAACCAAGGCTATCACTGCGGGAATGTTGCACTGGCTGGTTGACAATGGGTATGTACATTTCTATCTTATCAAATCTGGTTGGTCTGCATTGATGTAAACTTAGTTTTCACGTCTTTGTGGCTATTTATTTCAGTGTCACTATGTCCTAGGTCGTAAAGAAATGCAATCGATGTGCCAACTAATTACTTTAGAGGTGCTTTTAACTCTTGGGGAATTTTAGACTGTTCTTTGCCTTTGCATTATTACCTAGGTGTCATGTCAATATGTGGATGCTGCGACATGTTAAATCCTCCAATGCCAGAATTCTTCTCAAACTTTGCCAAAATGATATAATCTATAATCTATTTCAGTATTTATCTCTTTTTGATTTTCTTTCTCTATATTCATTCATTCAATGCAAATCATCCCAAGTTTGGAAAATGCAATAAATTCTTTGAATTGACACTCTTCTTTTTTGCCCTGGGGGAGGGACTTTTCCAAAAGATCTCGTAAATTGAGATCAATGAGATGTGATGTTTCTTCACTTCTCTGATTGCATTTCAGTAATTGTGAAATAAAACCTTATTTGACATTCGTGATGTGGCATAAACATTGATGACCGTGTGAAATTTTGAGCTGTATAATATTCTATAAGAGTGGACCTTACAGATGTTCATCTACGTACTAAATTCATGTACTTTTATTGTTCATCAAAAAAATAGAGTTTGTTCCTGTACATGGTTATATGATATCTATAACTATATTTGTATTTTTTTTATATTTGTTTTGCAGAAAATTGAAGCTTGATGAAAATGTTGGAAATATCTGGCCAGAATTTAGATCAAATGGAAAAGATCTCGTAAAGGTCTATATCTTTTGCTTAAATCCTAACGAACTTATTTCAATAGCATTGAGATTATTAGTATGCATTTAATTGTCATGATTGTTGATTACTTATCTATTTATTTTTTAGGTTCATCATGTGCTTAATCACACATCTGGTCTGCATAATGCCATGGCAGATGTTACTAGAGAAAATCCTCTAATGCTGGCTGACTGGAATGAATGTCTTAACTGTATTGCAAATTCAGTGCCCGAGACTGAACCTGGGCAGCAACAGAAGTACCACTATCTATCGTTTGGCTGGTTATGTGGTGGAATTATTGAGGTTTAATTGCTTGCTGTTTTTTTAAATAATTTTCTCTCTCGTTTTAGCGTTCCCAGAGTAAGGAAGAGACTAAATGCCTTACTGGTATCACAATCTTTTCCATCTGTTATTAGCCCCACCATTTCCAGTGTACTAATTGCGAGTTCATGGTGAACAGCATGTGTCCGGGAAAAAATTTCAGGAGATTCTTGAAGAAGCCTTCATTCACCCCCTCCAAATTGAAGGAGAGCTATATGTCGGAATTCCTCCAGGCAAGTGTGTTAAATTGTTCTTCACTATGATACATGCTATATATAGTTTCTTTCACTGGATAGAAAGAATATATTAGCATGGCAGAAAATACTGGTAGTAATTATAAATCCGGGCTCTCATTTTCGTCATTGCCATGCATTGATTGCTCCTCTTCAGGTGTGGAGTCTCGACTTGCAGCCCTCACACTGGATGCAGATGATCTAAACAAGCTTTTTGGGATTAGCAATCGTAGTGGCCTTCCAGAAGCTTTCCAGCCTGACAGGATTGTCCAGCTTGTGACCGCACTGCCTCCTTTATTCAACATGCTTAACACTCGACGTGCTATCATACCTGCTGCTAACGGACATTGCTCAGCACGTGCACTTGCACGATATTATGCAGCCCTAGCTGACGGCGGTGTAGTTCCACCTCCACATTCCTCTTACACCAAGCCGCCACTCGGAAGCCACCCCCATATCCCTAAATTCCCAGGTAAGACGCCTACAAAGAAGAAAGCTGGCAAAAATAAGGAGCCAGCTACTGCTTCCAAGGCCAAAAACAATGGTCACGGACAAAATCCAAATCACAGCAAAGACTCTGAGAACGGTAATCATTACAGAAATCCAAGCAGTGATAGTTACACTAGGCTTGTTGGTGAGACTAGTAGTAGCAATAGAACCGACACTGGTACGACAGAAAGCGTTGTAGTATCTAATCCTCGAAGTGGCGATAAGATTTTTAGGAACCCTAGAATTCATGATGCATTCTTGGGTTCGGGTGAATATGGGAATTTGGCTAAGCCAGATGGGGAATTTGGACTGGGTTTTAAGAGGTACTACGCAAAGGATAAGTCGTTTATCGGGTTTGGGCACTCGGGGATGGGCGGGTCAACTGGATTTTGTGATGTGAAGAATAGGTTTGCCATTGCTGTGACTGTAAACAAGATGTCGTTTGGTGCTGTGACTTCAAAAATAATTCAGTTGGTTTGCTCGGAGTTGAATATTCCAGTGCCAGAGGATTATTTAAGATCAGTTGAAATTGGACCAGATGGCCAATTGAATGTAGGTAGACCTATTATTAATTGAGAAACGGGAAAATTCTCTCCCTTCACCATAATTTTTTACCTGAGATGTACCTAAATTGCAAAACTAAATTTTTTTACCTTATACCCGAAGGAAAACTGAAAACATATAGACAGTAACTGATTTACTTGTATATGCACATGTTTATACTGTATTGCTGAAAAGGAAAACTATAGAACTTAATATAGTAATTTACACCGTTCATTTTCTTCATTTGTTTCGGTTTCTTTATTTGCTTGTGTGATAAAAGATGGGAAGCGTATGTCAGGTTCAAATTTTGTTATGGAAATGTCGGACAGTGGTTTTATTGCCTAACAAAAAAAAAAAAAAAAAAAAAAAGAAAGAAAGAAAGAAAGAAAGAACTTGTGATTTGATATGCGATAGTTTTCTAACAAGAAGGGAAAAGTGCACACAATTACTATTATTATGGGGGCGAAATGCTTGTTAGACTCGGATTGATATTTTCTTTGATGTATTAATACAGGGTAAAGAGCTCCTATACTCGATGAAACGTTTCATATTTTGAGGGTCGTATCAATTCTTAACAGATTCAACGTGTCTAAAATTGAGATCAAGAGTTATATTATTTTTTTAGCACTAAAAAATAATTGATTTGATTGTTTTTTTTTTTTTTTTGTTACCGTTACCTCATTTTTTCTAGTAACTCACTAACAGCAGTCATAACAGTGAATAATATAAGTACTTGTGTCAATTATATTAATTAGTTGTAATAATGTCATCTTAAACATTGACATAAAAGAAAATAGTTGATTAAGCAAGTTCTTCAAATATCAAAATTTTCCTGAATAAAATTAGTGCTGTGATCCCACGTGATCTGGATGGGGAAGTGGTGCATGTTGGTGTTGGAGATCAAGAACAAAATATTAGTTTTTGCTACAAAAAAAACGCGTTTTCTGCACTCTCACGTGTTTTCTAAAATAGTTGGCTGAAAATGTTTCTCAATAAGTCTGATCTGGTGGAGATTTTAATAATTTCAATCATCTGATTTATCTCCACTATTTTTTATTTTATTTTAATATTACTAGTGTCTCGGCCTATGCTTCAAGGAAGGTGCATTATTTCCAATTTTAATAAGAGGGCCCTAGGGTATATGGTGATTTTCATTTCGTTTTATTATTATTATTTATTATTTTTAGAGAAAGGTATATGGTGATTCAGTGCTTTTACATGTGTCATGTGTCTGTTTTCTAATCCTAAAAGGTGCTGACTGGTGGGAATGGATTAGTGCTATGCGTGACGCATTTCAGCTCAAAAAATATAAATTACAAACAATTTAATCCTAGTGAACTTTTCATGCACAAGATAATTTCATTAATAATTGGATTCACTTTTCTTTCTTATTATTTTCTTTCGTTCTTTTCCTCCCACCTTCTAATAACAATCTAATCCAAGTTCCACATACATTAATCACCTCTTGCCAAAAAAAGAAACAAATCATAAAAATAATAATAAAAAAAAAACTAATTAAGATGGGGATCATAGCTAGCTATAAGGGAGGGAGGTTAGCATGTAAATATGTAGTAAAATATGTAGTTATATATAAAGGATAACTAAATAATGCATGCTCTGAAATGAAAGGTTTCTATGATCTGCAAAGAATATATCTTCAAGTGACGTTTTTTACTTCAGCATGTTTGCTTGCTTGCTTTCAAATTTTTTTTTTCTCTTTTGTTTTTTTTCTAAATTGTACTTTTTAGCCTTTTTTTCCTTTAATTGTACTTTTTAGCCTTTTTTTTTTGTTTCTATGATCTGCAAAGAATATATCTTCAAGTGACGTTTTTTACTTCACCATGTTTGCTTGCTTGCTTTCAAATTTTTTTTTTCTCTTTTGTTTTTTTCTAAATTGTACTTTTTAGCCTTTTTTTCCTTTAATTGTACTTTTTAGCCTTTTTTTTTTCCCTTTAATTGTATTGTAAATGTTGTTCTAATTTTTTCTTCTTCTTTTTTAAGTCTTGTATTTTCCATTGTTTTCCATTACAATATTTTTTTTTCCATTAATTTTCTCTCTAAACACCTCATTTATTATCTTTTTTTTTTACTTTCATAAATATTTCACTTGTGAATCTCTATACTCTTTACTATATATCTATACTTATAATAGAAAAAATGTATATATTTTTTCAAAATTTTTTTTCAACCATCATTATGCATATTATGAAATTGTTGATTTTCATAGAACAATAATTTCATTTAGGTTAAAATTTAAAACCTCCTAATAATTTTACACTTGTCTGTAAAAAATTTAATGACTATCAATTTTTTAGTTTGAAAAATAATTATTAGTTTGCTATATTTATTTGTGTTTATCATTATTATAAAAACATTGTTGGCATCCCTAGCATGCCATAATTTGACTTAAAAAAAGGCGAACTATTAGCATATTTATTTATTTCTTTTTAAAGAAGCAATTAAACAACATGTTTGCATTGAAACATTTTTTATCATACTTAATAATTTTAAATATTTTTAAAAAAAATGCAAATTGTAAAGTGAAAAAAAAGTATTTAATAACAGGACGTCCCTCAAGTTAGGTTACTACTTACTACTACGTACAAGCACGGATGAAAAATTGTACTTATAATATATTCAACATGGCAGATTAACAAGGACGCCCAAAATGCCAAAATTTAGCCTAGAATAAACTTTCTTGTAAATATATAAGAACTAAAGTAGCTTTTCTTTTCCCAGTAATCAGCATATTAAAATAAGCTTATATATTCCACAGATACATTATGTGTATACATTGCACTAGCGACCCAATATTTATATTCAATTGATAAATTTCCAGCTTCGGAATCTTAGAAATCAATCATATAAATTAAAATAACTCTAATTATTTGGATGGCATACCAGAAATTTAAATGAACAACAAGGGCATTATATCATGATACCTACTATAAAAATGTAAATTTACGCCACTATGTGACATATTGTACATATCTCTCATAGTGTGATCTCTTTCACTAGACGAAACATTTTTCTCCCAAGAAAATCCATCCAAATTCTCATCCGCCAAATGGGTATCACTGAAACATGCTCAAGATTATTAGGAGACTTGGTGCACGCCATTGGAGGATCTTCAAGATCGATGATGATCGGCTCGGAAACTCACACCCTTGATGAACAAAACCACCAAGCCTGCAAACGACAAAAAGCAGGCAAAGTTGACGACTCAATGGCAAGAGCTCTCATCACCGTTTTTGGCATGCAAAACGACGGAAGAATACACAAGGAGAAGGCTAGGAAAGTTGTGGAGAAGCTCGGTTTGATACGTGTGGAGGAGGCGGAGGTTTATGACGACAAGTCCTCCGCGCAGGGGTTTGACTTGCCAGGAGACTATGATGGTGTGGAGGAAGTGCCTGTGGAGGAAGTACTTGATGGAGAAGAATTAATGGAGAATAGTTCAAAAAGAAGTGAGTTGCTTCATCAAGCTTTCAAGATCTTTGATGAGAATGGCAATGGATTTATAGAGGCGGTGGAGTTGAAGAGGGTTTTGGAGTGCTTGGGGTTGGATTGTGGGTGGGGCATGGATGAGATTGAGAAGATGTTGAGAGTTGTGGATTTGAATTTGGATGGGAAGGTTGATTTTGGTGAGTTTGAGTTCATGATGGGAATGAATTCTCATTCTTAAATATGTTGTTGTCTTTTTTAGTGCTAGAAATAATGAGTTAATTTGTTTGTTTGGTTTTTTTTCCTCTCAATCAATAATCCATTGTGGTAATTTTACATTCATTATGGGTCCAATAATATTTTTCAAACTCGAACATTTTTGTGATCTAAATTGGTTCATTACAGAATCATTAATAACTTAAACCATAAATAGTTATTTCCCCCGTTTTCTTCTGCTTCCAAATTAACACCATTACTATCTCTGCTAAATTTACTTATTAATGAGGCATATTTTATGAAAGATTATTATTTGCAAGTAATTACTCCACTAAATTTATGCAAACTGATGCATGAACGTAGGACTAATTCAAACAATCTCTGGTATTTTGCAAATTATAATGATATAGTTGGATGATATTTTTTCAAATAATGAGGTATCCAATTAGATTAGAGAAAAACGTAAATATTAATATGACATAGTTCTAAACTATAGGATACCAGGAAGGATATTTTCTTTTTTGTTTAAATTATTTATCTAAGATCATGCAATGTATTAAGATATTTGAACCGAGATTTTTGTTGATCACTCTAATATTCTTTTTTTTTTGTATAAATTTTATTGCGATGATTTTATCACCATTAAAGTGCAATATTATTAGATGAAAACCATTTTTGCTCCAGCCTAATAGTCTCAGAGTTTGAAATTATAGGTTTATTTTGTTTTATACATTATAGCATGATACTGAAGTAGACTTATAATACATTCAAACTATAAAAGCAGAAAGGTCTACTCTATTTCTTCTTTTTTCTTTTTGCCATTGTTTCTTTTTCCTTCTTAGATATATATAGTTTTGATAAAAAATTTGTTGTAACCTGATATGATCAATGCCCAATTTTCTAGACCATTTGTATAAATTACCTTTCACATTCTAGCTATGTATAAAGGCAACATGCATCCTTTGTTCATAAATATTCCTTGATGATTTGACATATTTAAAAGCTACATCACCTTATTTCGTTTTATTTTTGTTTTTACCCTTAATTTAGCAAGCTGGTGTGTTCCAATGCACATCCCAGATTAAAGTTCCAACTACAAGACGCGGTTTCTCGACTGTCACGTCATGTGTGTGTGTGTGTATATATATATATATATACACACACTATATATGTGTGTATTTCAGAAACTATAAAATATTTAATTGTCACGGTTGGCAGAAGCCAGCACGATTTTTTCTACTTGCAAAATCAGTTACATTGTTAATTATTCATACAAAAATCAAAATTGTGTAGGAAATAGGGGACAAACGAGATACCGATGAGTTAATGATGTTTTGGTTACACAGACAGTGATGCTTATGACGTGACAATGCAACTTCAAATAAATACACACATAATATACATATATATTTAACTAGTGTTTCTTTTAAAGTAGAATTAATATTGTTATATCCTTATTGGAACGTTGGAATTATTACCGATGATAGATTCGATGTGTTAGGTCCATTTTTATCGCTAGTGTCAGAGAAAGTGTTATAACACTTTACTATAATACTGTTTTAATAAAAAATCTGAAATTAAATCAGCAAAATAGCAATGTAGAAAAATAATGCAAAAACATAAAGGACACCAGAAAATGATATCGTAATTCGGTGCGCACACCTACATCTGCGAGGCCACGCCCAAACAGTGATCAATTCACTAAGTTTAAAAGATTACAAATGACCGAACGGTCTTACACACTCAACGACTCCCTCCTTGACAATGTCGCCGTTGTCTAGAATCTCCTTAGGAAGCTTGATCAGTGAGCACCACTCGACTTGACGGTTTCCTCCCAAAACTAAAGGAATCTTCTCCCGAAGAACCAACTCGAAAGTGTTCTAACAATTCGTCGCAACACATCAAACGACACTTAACATTACAATCTCATTATGACATTAACAAAATCATCTTTTCAATTTTCAGCCCTCTCTCTGTTTCAAAAATAACACCTCACTACACGTTCTGCCATTTTCCCCCTCATTCAACCTGCCTCAAGCCTTAAGATCACCAACAATTAATTTTCCAAAAGTCCACTCTTGATTTTTAGCAATCAAGTCCTTTGATTTGCAGCCAATAAACATGACAGCAAGACTTTCTTTAAGAGGACCACCAATTTACAAAGCCAGTCAATCTTACAACTAATTTGCCAAAAAAAAGTCAACACAAAATGCACTAACAATCTCCCCCTTTGGCTATTTTTGACAAAATTAACATTACTAACAAAAAGAACCTATTACAAGATAAAAGATAAAATCCAACTAAAGGGGTTAGTTGAGTTAAAAGTCACCCTTTTTTTGACAAAATACAGCCAAAGTTAAAAATAATACTAATAGAAAAACTTTTTAGAAGCTGTTGTCGCAGAAAGTGTTGTAACACCAGATGGAACACTCGGTATAACACTTTCCTGCAAATCACATTCCAATTCATTGATTTCTGCAACTTGCTTCCCCTGAGTCCTCTACGAGTCTTACTCCCCCTGAATATAATATTCTTCCATGCATATTGCTTTTATCATCTATCAAAAGCTTGGAGTGACCATTACCATAATACTTAGAGTTAGTAGTACATGCTTTAAAAGAAGTGCAAGCCCTATGACACCTTAAATCAGATTTTCTTACCCAAACATGTCTAGGAAATTTATTTTACACATCAATCTTTGCTTTAGGTGTCCTTGTTGAGTTTACGAAATTTGGTGGATTCATGAGCATACCTCTCTTCAAAGCATTCAAATACTTGTAGCATCTTGGTCTTATATGGCCAGTTAAACCGCATTAATGACATATGGGAACAAACTTTTTACGTCGTGGGGGTAAGATAATACCTTTCTTACTGAGGATAGTCCGAGATTCAGGAGCGAGTGTCTCCTTCACAAACACTGTCTTGGATGTTGAACATTCACCAGTGTATCTAAGTCCATGACGCTCACAACTAGCTTTTCCCACAGAGAGAATATGATCAAGTTTGGTGGTGCCGGAATTCATCATTTTAAGTGACTTTTGAGTGTGCTCCAATTCTACCCTTGTGTCTAGCAGCTTTTTCTCATTTTTAGCAACTTGAAATTCATAGTTTACGGTAGCCCTCTTAAGCACATCCTTCTTTTTAACAAGCTCATCAACTCGCTCCCATAGAGACTTATTCATTTCACACATTTTAACTCATTTGTTGAACATGGTCTTATAAGCTTCCTATATGTTATCAATAGTCAACTCCTTGCCATCACTGTTACTCTCAGAATCTGAAAAATCTCCTTTAGTTTCGCTGTTCACAAATTCTGTTTCGGCATTTGTTGTAACACTGTCTGCGACACCTTTTGTAACACTATCTGCAGAAACGTCCATATCAGCATAAACATTGAAAGCAACATAGTTGCTCACATATTCGTCATCTTCTTGACTGCCTTCTGACTCTTCATCACTCCAAGTTACATTAAACGACTTCTTCTTCTTCTTCTTGAGGGTATTGGCGCATTCGGATTGAATATGTCCATATCCGTCGCACTCTCAGCATTAAATACCTTTGTTCTTTGTCTTCAATTCTATGCTATTTGCTGCAGATTTACTCTTTTAAAAATTGCTGGAGTTTCCATTTCTTGAATTCTCATTCTTCCTATTGACCTTCTTCTTCACATTGTTGAATTTCTTCGACAACCTTGTTATGGACTGAGCCAAGTCTTCTTCATCATCAGAATCAACTTCGGCTTGAAAGGCAATGCTTTTCTCCTTATTTCCTTTCTTGTTTTCATCCAGATTCATCTCAAAAGTGTGCCAAGAACCCATTAGATCATCAAGTTTCATTGTTTGGACATCATTGGCTTCCTCGATAGCTGTCACCTTGTAAGCAAACCTCTGTGGAAGAGACCTCAAGGCATTCCTCACAATTTTCTCCTCTGATATTTTCTCTCCAAAGGAAAATGCCTCATTAGCAATATCACACAATTTTGAATTAAACTCAGAAATTGTTTCATCTTCTTGCATTCGAAGATTCTCAAACCTTGTAGTAAGGATTTGAAGTTTAGAGAGTCTCACGGCATCCGTACCTTCATGTGCCATTTGCAATGTCTTCCATGCATCCTTGGCTGTTTCACGTTGAAATGAGCTTGAATTGGTTCACATCTACCCCGTTGAAGATAGCATTCAGCGCTTTAGAATTGTTGCTCGCCAACTTGTCATCTTCGGTTAACCAAGTAGTTTTAGGCTTCAATATCTCCTTTCCTTTAAAATCCTTTGTAACTGGATGCTCCCAACCAGTCAAGACAGCTCTCCATGCCTTTTCATCAATAGCTTTGATGAATGCCTTCATATGTGCTTTCCAATATGAGTAGTTGGAACCGTCTAGGAGGGGAGGACGCGAAACTGAACCGCCTTCTTTCAAAAAATCCATAGCTACTGTAACAGACCAGTTCCCAAAATCTCACCAAGCAAACGGTTAGTGACCCGCTCTGATACCAATTGTTAGGTCTGTTTTTGTCGCTGGTGTCACGGAGAGTGTTATAACACTTTACTGTAATACTGTTTTAACAGAAAATCTGAAATTAAACAAGCAAAACAGAGATGCAGGATAATAATGCATAAACATAAAGGACACCAGAAAATGATATCACAGTTCGGTGCACACACCTATATCTGCGGGGCCATGCCCATACAGTGATCAATCCACTAAGTTTAAAAGATTACAAAGGACCGAACGATCTTACACACTCAACGACTTCCTCCTTGACAATGTCGTCGTTGCCTAGAATCTCCTTAGGAAGCTTGATCAGCGAGCACCACTAAACTTAACGGTTTCCTCCCAAAACTAAAGGAATCTTCTCCCGAAGAACCAACTCGAAAGTGTTCTAATAATTCGTCGCAACACATCAAACAACACTTAACATTACAATCTCATTATGACATGAACAAAATCATCTTTTCAGTTTTCAGCCCTCTCTCTATTTTAAAAACAGCACCTCACTACACGTTTTGTCATTTTCTCCCTCATTCAACCTACCTCATGCCTCAAGATCACCAACAATTAATTCTCCAAAAGTCCACTCTTGATTTTCAGTAATCAAGCCATTTGATTTGCAGCCAATAAACATGACAGCAAGACTTTCTTTAAGAGGACCACCAATTTACAAAGCCAGCCAATCTTACAACTAATTTGTCAAAAATAAGCCAATACAAAATGCACTAACAAGATGTTTGAGCTCAAATTGCTTTACCAATGATCAATAAGATTCAAAAATCGAAAATCTGGCCCTTGGGCTTTTATGATATATCATTCCTCTGTTCTCAGTTCTTAATCTCACATTTCGATAATCCTTCTCACGAGTGAGGGAGATCCTTAGCTAAGAATTTCTCTCTCCAATAGGATTTATTTGTTTCGTTTCTTCTTTTTTCTGGCTTTAGTATTTCCATAATGAATAAAAATAGATGTTCATTTAGATCTCATTTTCTAGCGATGGTCACGAGTTCCGTCTACTCATATCTTAATATGGTTATAGTAACTTGTTTATGTCATCATTTTTGTGTGGTGCTGTTTTTTTTTTGTTTTTTTGTTTTTGTTAATTTGTATTATTTGAGTGTCATATCTAGAAAAAAGAATGTAGGCATGTGAAGATCGACATCGGCAACATGTTCGTTATTGCATCAATAAGAAGAGCCTACGCTGGAGATGAAGGGCATTTTGAAATTGCTGAAGATTTATTTGTTGAGGATTTCGATTTTGCCTCTTTTACAGAGTTTTATGTGACGTCAATTAGAAAGAGTGCACGAGAAAACCTCCTTATTCTTTGATCGAAATAATGAGTCGAGTCACTAGGCTGTTTTGTTTATTATAATAGATCATTTGTTACATATTTTGGTTTTTCTACAAGATCTATGATTGCAATATTTGTTCGAGTTGAATGAAATTATTGTTCTTTTTAAACAAAAATCAGAATAAGGTTTTTTTTTTTTAATCTACTTAGAATCTTTGCTGCTCTTAGATAAGGAGAGAATCATAAAAGATCAAACAGAGTTAATTGACAGAAATATCATGATCAACTTCCAACAAATAAAACGTTTGTGAGAAGATGCAATAAGCTCATAATCTTATAGCTTTTCTACTACAACAGAAAGTTCTTATACTTCACACAGGAGGGGGGGAAAAAAAAAAGCTAGAAACACTTCAGAAACTAACAACAATGACAAAAACAAGAAAAACACCAAAAGCTACAAACTAATAAACAACACATGAGGATTAACAGTCTAAATTGGCATATGCATTTGCCATTATTCCTCTTTCCTATTGCCAAATTTCTGAGACACTGCTAACAGCATCACTCAACATCCCGGCAGTGATATTGGGAGAAGAAAAATTGGGGTTTCCAAGTCCAAGCAGGGATGGATTTTGACCCGACACAGCGATTCCCGCATAGGGATTGTCCTGATGATCAGCGTGGACGGTGATGGTCGGCGAGACACTCACTGTACGGTGAAGATTTGGACGGTTGAAGTGTTGTGGTGTGCTATTCAGATGACTTTGAATTAGTTGATTCAAGCAGCTTGAAGTTAAGGAGCCTCGAGCAACCATGTCTTCAGCTAACTTCACCTGAAATGATCATAACATTAATTTTCGATTTCGATGCTCGAATTTAGAATTGGCATTACACCATTTTTCCAATAAATTCCTTCTTATGATGGTTAAATATGTAATCTTTGTTTGATTGTTGATCGATTTCATATCTGATACTAAAATGAACATTCTTCTTCAAACGTTGGCAACTAGAACTAGAAGGAAAAGAAGCATCTAATCAACAATACCTTGGCTCTCATAGCTTCCACATCAGATCTAAGCACTCGGTTAGTTGTATCAGCATCACGGTATTGCTGAGTAGTGTCTGTAAACTGCTTATACAAAGATGAATTTTCTCCTCTAAGTTGCTCAACCTGAAGAAATAACAACAAAATTCAACTCACAAGCATTCTAAGAAAAAGAAGAAGAAACAAGGAAAATACCTCTAACTACACACAAACACACAGGCAAAGCCACACATTCTCGAGGAGGCGACCGTGCCACCTGAATTTTTTCCTTTTAATTTTGTAGGTATATTTTGTTAAAATTGATTGCCTTCTGTAAAATTTTTAAATTATATATATCAGCTCCTACTAATTTAGTTTTCCGATTCCGCCTGCGTGTGTTAATCACCAAAAATGTTCAATTAATTAGTACCTGAAACTCAAGATCTGCCAAATGGGCCTGTTTTCTTCTTCTTGATCGCCGAGCAGACTCGCGATTTGAAACCATCCTGAAACAATCATGACAATAACTCAGCAAGATTAATATTCATAATAATTTGTAATAACTAGTATGAAATATGGTACAAATTTAATGTCATGCAGTACAAACATATTTTTATCTTGGTCCTAGTTCGAAAAATTAGCAATGAACAAAATGAGTAGTTTTATTATTAATGAACCTTCTAATTCGTTTAATATCAGTAGGGTCTGTGCTCTGTTCACAGGGTCCAGCTTCAATCTCAACATCATCATCTGATTGTTCATGGGAGGAACCACTTGAAGCCCCTCTTGTTTGTAATTCATCATCTCCGCCTTTTGATTTATTGGCTGATATTGGACTTCCAACTGAAAATTTTCCATATCATTAAAATAAATTAATCAGAGAAAGGAAAAAGAAAAAAGAAAAATTACTAATAAGCTAGCAAGAGAAATGCGTTCACTGATTCTTCACAAAATAAATAAGATGAAAATACTAGGTATTATTACCAATGATGGTCAGAGTTCACGTACGGATACGATCTATTTAAAAACTTGCGGTGATGATCATTAGTAGTAATAGATATATAACACTACCTTATCGAGATATGACACGACATGACACGACCGTAAGAACAAAAATAAGGAGATGTCGATTAGTGTCTCATCTTAGAACATACCACAAATTGATGATTGGGAATCTATGGTTGCTGAGACGCAGGAATTCTTGGGTGTGAGATTTTGAGAGCAGAGAATGGTTTCTGTGAGTCCAGCACTGCTTGAGTAGCAATTCATAATTTCCTGCAATTAATTAGGAAAATAGCACAAGTATGATTATCGCCAATATCTATGTGCATATATAGTGGATCATCTTTTAGAGGCAGCATTATTACGCCAAAAGTTGCAGGAGGGATTAGTTTTTTTTTTTTTTTTTTTTTTTTTTAAATAAGAAAATAGATCATATATAAACAAGTTTAGTAGTAATATATATATATATATATATATATATATTGTTGGCTCAATTTTTCTAGACATGTTGAAAATTATTCTGCTTATAAGTCTGAATTGACCAGAGTAATTATATATATTTAATTTGATTTGATTTTTTCAAAAGTTTCAAACACATTGAAAATAATTTCACATTTTTTGTTGTTTTCTAAAACTGACAAAATCTAGTCATTAATTTGAAATATAACAAAAAAAAAATGTAAAAATTTTACAAATAAAAGAATTAAAATTACTATTGGGTGGGGTGGTTTAGGGGGAGATCTCAGGCTCAAATCTTGTGAACAGTTAGCTTGTATAAAAAAAAATTACCATTGGTAAGTATTGGGTAATTTTATAGCATGAAACATGAAAATCATTATAATTATTACGTGATTTTGCTAATCCTAAAATATTCTTAAAGATTTCTATATTTAGATTTCAGTACTCTTATAAATATATATATATATATATATGTATATGCCATCTAGTATAATTTTTACTAATGTTTGTTTCCTCCCACCAAAAATGCATTTCTCTGTGTTTTCCCAACCAAAAAAAAAAAAAAAAAAAAAAAAAAAAACCGTCACATAAGTGATCAGTCCATAAGTCCGCGCCATCATGATTTGTCGGATATCAATTTTCTACGTTGGCTCAAAAAATCCGATAACGCTTATCGACATGGCTTGCACGTTTGTCACCAACCACTCGTTAATTAGATAGTTTTTTTCCCCCCCTTTTAATTAGATCTTCTTCTTTCTTGAAAATTGACATGAATTAGTGTTAAAATTGCACGTGTCACACATGACGTATCCGAGGAATTATTCGTTTATTTTCATTGATATATATGTCTTACTACCTTATAAAACATCGATATTTATTTCATGTTCCAAATTCGAGGTTTTAGAAAATAAAAATAAAAATAAAAGAAGGACGTTAACGAGTGATATTCAGTATTTGGCCGCTAAGTAATCTATAATAGTTGAGAAAAAAAAACCTAATAATAACAGTATCACATCAAAATACCAACTCATCTGTTTCTCTACCGTTTACTTAAAAAATCTAGTTTATATTACCGAAACAAAAGTTGCGGTAGATGCAATATTTTATAAGATATATGTAGTTTATAAATTAAGCACTGCTTTTAGATGCAATATTTAGTTCATGTACTAAGAGAGAATTTTAATTTAGGGATGCATAATCATAAGATAACAAAATCAAAACTATCCTTATAAAGTAACACTTTATTTATTCATTTATTTATTTGTACTTCTAAAAAGTGAAAATTGAATGATGATTTGTTCGAGAGAATCTTCACATTTTCCTTTTCACTTTTTAAGAACTCACACGAAAAGGTTCAAGTGTTACCAAATAGGATAATAAATAGATAAAATCAAGTAATTACATGTGGCCCGACTATAAACAACAAACCCCACATACATTATTGTTGACGTTGCTGTTTACGCTAGCTAATTACTTAACCAATTTATAAAGCTTTACTACTTTATCAGAAAAATAAATAAATAAACCCACACGACTTCTATATATATAATAGTATTTAACATGGTTCAATTGTGAAATATTTATAGAGATTTTTTTTGGTCGAATAAAACCGCCTGAATTTAACAAGTAAAAATAAAAGTTGTAACTGTAATATAACATTTATTTTAAAAATCTTAAGAACATAGTAATAACGAGTCTCGTAATATAGATCGTGGTCCATTTTTTATTAGCTTTGATACCCTAGATGCCTTTTGGATACAAGATGAGCTCTATCTCTAAAACCTATCTTCTAATATACATTTTTAATTTCCTTCCAAAAAAATATATTTTTAATTAGCGTGTAATGTTAAACATCATTAATATCTCTTAAGATTTTTCTTTATTTCATGCAGAAAAAATATATAACAATGTTATAAAATATCGGTGGTATAGATAAACTTAATTTCTATTAGTAGTTGATTAATTAACACCAAATTACCATACTAGTTTGCAATATTGCGTAAATTTCTTTATTGGTATATTGCTATATAAAATAAAAATATATAATGTCAAGACGTACGTGGTATCCTTTAAGAATGCTTTATCAATATTTATATTAATTTTCATAAACTAAGAGGATATTTGTTTACTGTATTCATTTATGATTTTGAATCACGATTCATGATTTTTTACAATATTTTTCTTTTAAAAAAAATACACGTAAAACGAAAATAATTCTGATTCATAATTATGAATACACGAACCAAGCATCCACTAATTAAGTGTACGTAGCTAGCTAATGAAGCATCTGTGTATGCTAGGTTTGCCACGTCCGTGCAATAGAGTGAGAAAGATGAGAGAGAGAGAGAGGTGGATCATGAACTAACCCGATTTTTGAAAGCAAAGCTAAAATCATCGCCGAAAAATCCATCCGTCTTGGAGAAATTATTAACTGATCTGCTCTTCTCATCATGATAAGTAATCTTCTCGTTAATCCCGTTATTATTATTAGTATTGTTGTTGTTGCTGTTGTTGTTGTTGTTACTGTTGGTCCAAACGACGTCGTTGCCGATCTTGACGAACTCCGCCAGAGCCAACTCCGACGCGCTTCGCTTCATCATCGTTTGGACGTCGCTCGTCCCGGCCACACTGCAGTAGAACGACGTCGTCTGAGGGATGACGTGGCCTCCCGGTTTCCGCTCCATTTCGCCCAAACCCTGCTACTAAATCCGGTGGAGATTAGCGCAATAGTGGACGTGGCCTCCCGGTTTCCGCTCCATTTCGCCCAAACCCTGCTACTAAAGCCGGTGGAGATTAGCGCAATAGTGAGAGAGAGAGAGAAAGAGAGAGAGAGGAGAGAGAGTGTGTAAAAGAGGGAAGTGCGAGGAAAGATGGTGAAGTATTAATAGGAAGAGCAAAAGAAAGAACCCGGTTTGTTTTTATGAAAGGGAAAAAAAAAAAAAAAAAAAAAAAGAAAAAGAAAAGGTGGGCCGCCGTGGGCGGCACATGAAGTTAAAAAAAAGAAAAAAAAAGGGATTTGATAATACGTGATTACAAAATTGCCCTTTAAGAGCCCTTGGAATTACAAGGCTTACTTTGTGGTGTTGGGTGATGATTCCGGGTGTGGATGGTAATTTTGGAACTCCGGGTTCTTGGCGACGAAGGAATGTGTTTTTATTAATATTTTATTATTGTACGTTTATGGCAAGTGGTGGGTTGTTTTTGTGTTTGGTTTGTTGTGGTAATTAGGTATTTTGACGTTCGTAACTGCAAATGAGAGCCGTTGATCGGTGGATTCAGGAGGGGACAAGATACTGCCACATGACAGTTAATTAAAGGTCCGTTCATTTTACCGATTTGAGTTTTTAATTTTAGATTTTTACAGTTAAAAGTTCTCAGAAAACATTACATTAAATTTTTTTTATTACAGTTAAAAACTCTAAGAAAATGTTACATCTCAGTTCAAATTGAAAACTCGAATTCGCGAAGCGAACGAGACAAAAATGTCTTTGTGGGGCCAGCTAGAATCTGAGTTGATTCTGCATTTTGAAGAGATTAATTTCGAGTTTTCTTCTAATTACTATGTGCCTGCCTTTCATACGATATATGTATGGTACTTTTTTACTTTCTAGAAAGTGAACATTTGAGACTTTAAAGAAACTATTGAAAGAAAGAAAAAGTTTTGATAAAGGAAGTAAATTGGAGGTTCTATTCTCTTATCCTTGGTTGAAAATAATTTGAGTTCAATCTGATCTCATTATTATTCTGATATTTGAAAAAAAAATTTAGTCCATAATTTCCCCTAAAACTAAAAGCATATATTCACATGTCATGAGAACTCAAAAGAGATGTAGAGATGGAGCTTTAATTCAACGTAATAGCTTGTCCATTTATATATACACACATATATGCTTTTCAACACCATAAATGCATGAATATTTTTGCTAAGAAATAGGAATAGAATATTTTCCTTTTAATAATCATCTTCAACCATGTTTACTTCTTTTTTTTTTCTTTGGTAGAACTCTCCCATTACTTATATCACTGTACTTTAACAATATACGTATTTGTTTATAGACACACATATATGAGTGGGAGTTTGGTGCAAAACATTTGATTTTGATTTTTTTAGGGATTAAGGTCCCTTGATTATTGTAATAGTACAAATAGTTATTGTTTTAAGACGGCAAGAACTAGGGCAGTTCTTTTACCTATGTCTAGTTTGACAATTATAAACATATGTGCCGCCTTAAAAGGCCCCTGAAGGGTAAAAACACAAGATTTTTTGTTTCTTTTTTTTTTTTCAACTGATAAGGCAGAGATTTGAAACTCCAATATTAAAGATAGGAGGGTGTGAATTTACCGCTACCGTATAGTTTTTCTTTATATTTTCATATATATGAAGGTGATCATATAGTCGTCTTGACATTGTTGTGATATGTAGAAAGGCATGAATTTACCGTTACCGTATAGGTTTTTATTTTTATTTTTTTGTATTTTGTATTTTTTGTATTTACTAAGGTGACAATAGAGAGAGCATGTGAACATTGGCCTTTTTAGCGTTGGTATTCTGAGGGGTACAACAATCTAGTGGTTTTGAAGTAATTCTAAGTGCTTTTAGCAAAAACAAACAAAATGACAAAACAAAAATAAATAAAAAAGAAGGGTAATGAGAGTGCATTGTAAAGGATGGTAATGGGGGAAAAGTAGGACAAAGCTATGAAGAGGCTTGATTTGGACAGGCACCGACCCCAGAATAAAGATGTTGATGGCCATGGCTGCTTTCTTTGCCAATGCTTTAAAGGAGCTTAAACTTCACTTTCTTTGTGTTAAAATAATGACCTTTGCCTTTTTCTTTTTTCTTTGTTTTTTCAAAACATTTTTTCCCTTTTGCCTTGTTCTAACTTTTTTTTATTTTTATTTAAATACCCTATTCTACTTTCTTAAGACTTGGTAATACCTATTACCTAACTTTTTCCAAGTTGAGTTATTGGGAAAGCCCCCCAAGAGTCACAACCACCATCAAAACTTTATTATTTTCTTGCCAAGGAAAGTGATACATCAAGTGAGGGAAACGAAAGAGACAACTGGGTTCCAAAAATTCACAGGATCTGTTAATAATAACTTTATAGGTCATTGTGGTTTCAATGAATGAGATTGAAAGTATCATCCTGAAAAAAAAAAAAAAAAAAAAAATTACAACACACATTTCAATTCCGACCTAATCGAAAGTGTCATTTAGAGGATGTTTTGTAGAGGGATTCGTTCTTTGATTTGAATCATGATTCATGGTTCGCTACAGTATTTTCTCTCACAAAAAATTCACGTAAATAAAAAATGATTTGAATCACATGGTTTGAATCTTCTAACCAAACGTCCTCTTAGTGTAATTAAACTATTTGCAGAGAGAATTATGATAATTATAAATAATGGAAGAACATCAAAAGATAAGTTTTTAATTTGTCAAATGCTTCTTTTTTTTTTTTTTTGGATAAGAAGGAAAGAAACACTAAGTTGGCCAAAAACTCTGTATCTTATTACAAATGCGTCAAATTTTCATAATTGGAAGGTCACTTGTTTAAATAGTAAATCATGATTATGAATCTATTTTTGAAGCAAAAGGGAGATGAACATCCTAATTAATTTTTTCCTGTTCTTTTTTTCCCCCCTCAAAAGCTTTGACAAAAAGTGGCAAGACAACATCATGCATCTTGACTAATTAGTCTGTTTTGAAAATTTGGCAATCAATTCACGAAAGAGAAATAAATAGTTTTCAACTTTTCTGAGGACTTTCTGAGGACAATAATTCCACCAAAAAGTAATGCAGTATCACCCAAGTTTATAAATTCCAAAAATCGAATCAGCATTGTCATTGTGAATATTCTATATATCTAGAATCATGGGGTAGAGATGCCTTTACCTTAACCTGCAAGGAATTTGATGTTTTGCTGAAAGATGACATTATAATAATGTTTTGTTTATTAGTTTTTAAGAAGCAAAATTTGGGACAAACTAGGGTATTAAAAAAACTACTCTAGAAGTGTAGTGTTTTGGATCATCCGATCAGTATCAATTTCTATTAAATTATATATCATTTTTTAATCTAATATGATTTGATGGTTCAGATCAACTATGTCTTTAAAAGTTTACAATTGTCTAGGATATAGAATGTTTTTTATACTTTACTATCATATTGTCCTATTAAATAGATAAACTTAGGAGCTTTAAACTAAAAAAAGAGTAGTATTATAGGGATTTCAAAACTGCATGCTATCGTACACTAATTGATATTATAGTTTCCTAAATACGCCCTTTTTAATCGATTGTGATTTTAATAGGGAGAAAGATGGAAATAGACCAAGACTTAAGATGAATTAAAATTAATAAGTCAATAGTTTACATAAGTTAATAAATAGGCTAAATTACTATTTTTTTTCATAACTTGTCTGGTTATGAACCATAACTTGACAAATTATTGTCCATAATTTACGGTTTTTGTCCATAACTTGTCTGGCTATGAACCATAACTTGACAAGTTTGTCCATAACTTATCTGATTATGAACCATAACTTGACAAGTTATTGCCTATTAATTTCTATAACTAAAAATTAACCTATATACTTTCTTAAGCTTTTCATATTGGTCTATTTTCTACTATTTTCGATTTTAATATGACTTGATAGTTCGGAGCTATATGTGTCTTTGATTGTTTACAGATGTCCTAGATGTAGAATGTTTTTATACCTTACCATCATATTGTCATATTAAAAAGATAACTTAGGAGCTTCAAACTCGAAAAAGAGTAGTGTTAGAAGAGGAATATTACGAACTTCAAAATTGTATGCTGTCGTACACTAGTTTATATATATTATAGTTTTCTAAATACGTCGTTTTCACCTTAGTGCCTGGTAGAGTGGAAAAGTATTGAACAAGAGAAATAAATTGGAAGAGGGAGAAGAAGAAAATAAAATCTCGGGTTATTTGAACTTGAAGAGAAATAAATTAAGTTGTAAACCAATGGAATCCACCATTTCTTAATCCTCCCAACTTTGGTTTGGAAATAGAAATAGAGAGAAAATATTTAACAAAACACACACACACACATATTAGTATACTAAATAACTAACTTTACCGTAATTACTTTCATATATTCTTATTTTGTTTAAGGATATAATTTGTAAAATAAAGTAGATTACAATTTTTCTTCTCCTTTCCTGCTCTTATCAATCAATATAGAAGCATATATATAACACACTTTTTTTTTTTTAATGTTCCCTACGTGGATATTTTGCTTCTCCTTTCTTTCTACATTTTTCATCCCTCTTATTTAGCATATAGTGTAAGAAACCAGCGACTCTAGTGTAGCTAGTTGCAACATCAACTTGTGGACACGATTAATTTAGGGTAAAATTTTGATCCCATACCCCTATCATAATCTTATTTTAAAGTTGTGCGAACGTATGAAGTGATGTATATAGCATCATATTATATATGTTTTCTTGTCAAATCACAATCCTAAATGTGGTAAAGTACTATCAGAACAATTTGGCATTGTCTTGGTAGATTTTTTTTTTCTCTTAGCTTTTTGCTCTCTATGCTTTTGTGTTGCAAAATTGAAAGTGGGGTAGAATTTTCTTAGTGTTAGGTGCATAGATTCCTGAGGTGTTTCCTTCCTGTAAAGTTGCGTCTTAGGGTAGAATTTTCTTTGTAAAAAGCTTCTCCACACTATACATGAACCTGAATAGGTGTGATCTCGTCCCTTCTGAGCGGATAGCTGGCCCAATCCATATCAGCAAGTTTTTGGATCAAAATACAAAAAAGCAACTCAAAATCATCCAGTTCTTTCTTTCACCCTAATGAGCCCAACCCAATTGGTATAATCAGTAAAAGAACGTAATGGAAAGCGCACTAGAATTAGAAAGAAAAGTAACAGTGTAATAAGGATCGTTGACTCTTTTTAAGTGTTTATTTAATTATTAGATAATATAATAAGAAATAGTCTCATTTTCTTTCTAGCGTTTACTAAAATAATAATTGAATGTGATATAGTAATTCATTAAGGGTAAATAAGTAAATTTTACATTCATTTTCTTAGTAAGGGAATCAATACTAAGGAAGATAATGTAAGTATTGACATTCTCTTTCCTTATTTTCTATATTGAGTGGGTTTCACTAATTCTGTATTATTGATTTTGAAAATAAACACATTATTAGATAAGAAAATAAATAAATATTTCTCGATTTCTCTTTCTCTTTGATACAAACTAAAGGCGCCCTTAAGTCTTAGAATGACATGACACAAATATGACGCAACCAATTAATGGTCAAATGAAATCAAGTATGGCAAATATAGAGATAAAATACATGCAACGTGCAAGCCAATCATTTATGATATTAATAAAAGTAATTTTGATACAATTATAAACAGTAGTTTCAGAGGAAATAAGGGAGGAAAAAAATGGCTGAAGGTGATTTTAGAGAGGTATAAATTTTTATATCTTACTTTTGATTAATATCTTTTTAACTAATATAATTATTTAACTAAAAAGAGTATTAATCAAAACAGTAGTTTAGAAATATTTTGACTTTAAGGAGATTCAATAGTCTTTGGCCCCATTTCGCTAGTTCGAATCACAACTCAAGCTTTTATTATGGCGTTTTCTCTTACAAAAGTTTAAATTTAACTTTTTCTATTATAATGTTTTCTCTCACATGAATTTATTTTTTAACTCAAGTTCTCAACTCGAATGAATAAAACGCACAAGGCCTTTGTTAACTTATCTAATTCAATAATTCTAATTTTGTATTTATACGAAGTTCATTGGCGGTGCCGATTTCTTTTTGCTTTTAATCTGCAACTAATTTTTATTTAAATCATCGATAGAAACTTCGATCGCAATACGAGCAATCTCAACCCTAATTAATAAAGGCTCAATCAGCCTACAACGTTAATTTGGCTCAACAAGGGTCAAGTAATGGTACCTCCTGCAGACTAGGGGTGTTCGTCGGTTTAGTTTTGTCGGTTTTGGTCGGTTTGGTGGACGAACCGACCATGTTGGTTTTCTAAAAGTTAGAACCGAAACCGAACCGCATCTAACAGTTTCAATTCGGTTAACCGAATTTCGGTTTCGGTCGGTTTTGGTCGGTTTTCGGTTTTGGTAATCAGGAAGATGACCTCAGTTAACCATCAGGTTACCAGCATCTTTAATTGCATTTTTGACCCGCAAGTACGAAAAAATATAAAATTTTCCTTCAATGTAAAGTTGCAAACACGTAATCACAATAAATGAATACAAGCACAACATCAAAATTGATAATTGGACAAACACAAGTTTAAAAAACATTTAAATTGTCATAAGTAAAACAAAACGAAAACATAAAAATAAAAATAAAAATCCCATCTCGGTCGGTTCGGTTTTAACCGACTCTCTACACACAAAATTGAAACTGAACCGACTTTTGAGGAAGTCGGTCGGTTAACCGAACCGACTGTGTTCGGTTTCACGTGGCACCGTCGTTTTCAATTTTGAGCGGTCGGTTTTTCAGTCGGTTTCGGTTTTACGGTTTTTTTGTACACTCCTACTGCGGACCATGTCATCCTCTTCACGATAGTTTTGAATAGCTTCAATAAACACTAATAAGAACAGTCTGATATTCCTAGAGAAATATATTTGTCCCTTTCTCTTTCATCCATGATTCAAACACTTTGTAATTGGTTTGAAAAGAATATGTGAAGCTACAACTCCTTGAGTTTCTCTTGATAATGAGATACAAACTTTTAAATTTAGTATTAATTAATCAGCTAAGAAATACGTGTTTGGCACGTTGGATAAGGATTAATTTATGCTAATTCATTGTTTGTTGGATTAGTAATCCCTCAAAGAACAAGGGATATCAACGCTCCAGACAATCTCATAACCTCCCCAACAGACCATGGAGATATCTTATCAAGATTTAATGCTAATTTTTATTTTTCGTTTATTAAAAAAGTTATTAATTATAAAGAATAAAAATTAATTATAAAGAAAAAGTGCAAAACTACTCTTTTATAATAATCATATTTTTTTCATTGACCTCTTAATATATGAGTGATATTTGTACAATTTTGCTATATTTAATTCAACTCTCAAAAAGAAGTCAGATCGTGTGACTTTTACTATAAGATATATCTTTTTTTCAGGGACAACAAAAAAAAGAATGCAGAAAATTAAGAAGTAAGAAGAAAGGACCAAATAACTACAAAAAATAGAAAAATAAAAAAGAAAGGAGGCCAAAGAAAAAAAATGGGGAGTTTCAACCAAAAATTCCCAAAACTATATTCGCACTTCGTTTATATTTAAATAACATTATATTCCCAAAACTATATATTATTTTTGAAGGATTAGTATATTACATTCAGTAACGTCTTATTTGTTACCCTCATTAATATAGTTAGATTGAGTGTTTTACATACTAATATTAGTTGTTAGGTGAGTGCAAATATAATTAGCACGTGTTACACAATACTAATTAATTAATTCATTATTATTTGTGAACATGAATTTGATATGGTGTAGAATATAGTTTTAAAAAAAAAATCAGCTGAGGCATATATAAAATATGGAAACAGATACATGGTAAGCATGACTAGAATTTTCAAACCAACTGGCCGTTATTTATTAGAATTTCTATATCCTTGATTGTTAACTCCGTCGGTTACATGACATCTCTTTCATTTAATCTCATTTTATTATGGTAAGCATGACTAGAATTTTCAAACCAACTGGCCGTTATTTATTAGAAATTCTATATCCTTGATTGTTAACTCCGTCGGTTACATGACATCTCTTTCATTTAATCTCATTTTATTATTTTTTTTTTTAATTTTTCTTTTCAAGGAAAGGTATTTTTATGTTTAATTATTTTATCATAAACAAAATATTATAGCAAAATTTTCCCGGTCAATAACTTGATCAGAAGGATAACGAAACAAACATTTTGGCTATAAGTAAGGTTCACTCTTTTCTCAACTCGTATTAAAGAACTTGGGAAAAAATGAAGTACTCTGAGTTAATCTCTTCATTGTTTTCCTGTGTCATTGCTTTTCAATTCTTTTTCTGGTCAGTTTCTGCACCTTCGTTCAGTCGAAGTAGATCTCGAGGAAAAGACCGAATGGGTTCAAGCTGGAGCTGCACTTGGTGAAGAATATTACAGAATTTCCGAGAAAAGTGCAAATCTTGGCTTCCCGGAAAGGTGATTGCTACACTGTTGGTGTTGGCGGGCACTTCAGTGGAGGAGGCTATGGAATTTTGTTGCGAAAATATGGCCTTACAGCTGATAATATTCTTGACGCTCACATATATAGTCGATGCTAAAGGAAGAATTCTAAACAGAAAATCCATGGGGGAAGATTTGTTTTGGGCAATCCGCGGCGGTGGAGCTGCGAGCTATGGAGTTTTTCTTGCTTGGAAAATTCAACTAGTTCTTGTTCCATCGAAAGTCAACTGTATTCAACGTCGTTAGAGACTTGGGAGAAACATGAAACAAAGAAACTTGTTCACCAGTGGCAATATGTTGCCGACAAATTTCACGAAGATATGTTACTCTTCATCAGGATCCACGCCGTGAATTCTACTGCGGAAACTAATAGTACTATTACAAGCTACAATCATTTCCGTGTTCCTCCATCTCATGAAAAAGAGCTTCCCCAAGTTGGGTTTGGTAAAAGAAGATTGCATCCAAATGAGTTGGATTGAATCCATTCTCTTAGTCAATGGATTCCAAAGTGGAACGCCTCCTAATGTTCTGCTTGATAGGAGTAAGCCTTAAGGACAACCGATTTCTTTCTTTGAGAAAACGGACTACATTGAAAAGCCTATTCCAGAAGAGGTGTTTGGGAAGGCTTTGGGAAAGGTTGTACGAAGAAGTTGGGGCCGCGACTTTCCAGCTATTCCCTTTCGGGGCGAAAATGAGTAAGATTTCAGAATCTGATATTCCATTCACACATCGGGTCGACAACCTCTATCAATTTACATATCTTGTAAGGTGGGATGAAGATGGGAATGTTACAATAACCAAAAGGCATTTGAATTGGACTAGAAGTGTTTATGGTTACATGACTCCTTATGTGACGAACAATCCAAGAGGTGCATATCTTAATTCTAGGGACCTTGACCTAGGAAGGAACAACAATAATGGCACCGCGCAAGCAAGCACTTGGGGAAGAAGTTATTTCAAGGATAACTTCGACAGGCTAGTTCATGTGAAGACTAAGGTTGATCCAACTAATTTCTTCAGGAATGAACAAAGCATCCCACCCCTTCCATCACGGGAAAAGGAAAGAGGTGACTAGACACCATTCTCCTAAAGAATTAACGTTCACGTTGTTTTAAATAATGATATCATTTGGTTTCTAATTAATAATATTGGTTTCACCAAAGCCATATATATGTTTGTGTGTTATTATAAAGTGACTGTTGTCTGGAGTCTATTGTTACAAAGAGTTTGTTGTATTTCTATAAGAAAACTGATTTTAACGTATTAAGTTTCTTTTGCCTTTCGTAAAATAATTACGCTTATCTATAATGTATATATGTATATGTTACATAATAGCATATATATATATATATATATATCTACAAATCTATGTAGGCTACGCAGGTACCTTAAATTCCATTAATGTAGACTACCTCATGATTAGTGTCACGGTAGGATATCATCGATTAGTAGTAGGCTATTACGTACCGTGGCATTTTCTATAAGATTATTTTATGGAAAAAATCAATTGAAGAATTGTGGTTCTTGTATTTGTGTAATTAAGCTGAGAGAGAGACAACAACTCTAATGAGTCCAAGCTGGCTCCGTCAAATAATATCAGTTGAGTGAACCACAAATTCTACTTCAAATAAATAATATCGGTCGAGTGAGCACTACAAGAAAATTGTTGTTTAACAAAGGTCGATATACGCTGCTAAATGTCTTTAACTACGTGCAGTTGTGCGTTGTCTTATACAATATTGTTAAAAATAAGTGGTATTTAACAACCTTTATCGTATGTCTATAATGTACTATGATCTTTGTCAATTATTCACTAGTACTTTTAACATTGAGTAGTGAATGTTGTTAATAAGTAAGTTTTTTTTTAAAAAAATAATAACTAATAATTCAAATTATTTTTGGCCATTCAAAAATCTCATGGTTGTATCATTAGCATAAAAGGTATAGTAACCGAAAAAAAAAAAACGTATTATAACAAACTATGTACTTACAAACATGACAGAAAAATAAAACGAAAGATATAGTTATAAATATCAAGGTTTCTTTCAAAAAATTACAAGTTCAAGTTTCTTTCAAAAAATTACAAGTTCAAATAATTAGCGTACAAACTTCTTCTCCTTGCTTCTTGTATATAGGCTTCTCTTGCTTCTTCTTGTCATCTTATTTTGGGTTTAACGTCAAATATGGATGGTGATGCTGTGCAACATAGCACTTAGAATTCCCACATGGGATTTTTTTTTTCTCTTTTTGTGTCTAGAAGCATACGAAATTAAAGAAAATAAAGTTATAAGACCTTGAACAAAGGAGTAATTCTTTGCTGCGTCACTTGAAATGAAGTAATGAGTCTACTTTTGTAATTAGCATTAAAAGCTGACTATTTTGTGGAGTGTTAAGAGCAGCCTGCAAAATTTTCAAACTGATCATACTTCAAGGGTAAAACTATTGCCAACTAAACACATTGTCCAGCCTTAAGAACTATAAAGAACTAGAACAAGAACCAGAATACCAGAACCAGAATCAAATTAAACCAAAGCAGATCATGTGAGCTGGCATGGAGACACACTAGGAGCGGTGGAGGCACTTGCTCCTCACTGAAAAAATAAAAATATGTATTACATTGTTGTAATTATTTAAAAATGATCATTCTATGTTGCTAATTTGTTCTATGTTTTTGGACTAATTAATTTGTTAATTAATTCGTTTTAATTAAATACTATTTTTGGCCTTGATATGAATTTTAACAGGCGTACCAACCAATTCGGTTTTGAAGCCTCAATTCAGTTTTACCTCCTCTTCAAAGTCATTCGATCTTCCACATTTTGGAATTAATTTAATTTATTTTCTTCTTCTTTTGGCTTGCTTGCATCATTATTTTTCTCTCCCTCTATCTCTTAATTCATTTCATTCTATTTCTCGCTCTTCTTTTCAAATAGCACTTCAACTATTATCTCTGAGCTTTGCTATTCTCTCTCTTCGATTTTCAACCTTTCAGAGGATTTATTTTCCTTGGTCTGTTGTGCTCATGTTATGCCCGCGTTGATTGTTCTCTTGTTCTTCATATATATTTGGTTTTTATATCTATAATATGTTGCTACTTAATAAAATTTTTATTGTTAGAATATTTCAGTCTATGAATTTTATTTTCATATGTGCCCCACTAAATCTAAAGTCTAGCACCGTCACTAATGTGTGGTAAAATATCATGGAGTCAGATAACTTATTAAGCATATATATATATATATATATATATGGAGGCTCTCACGAGGAGCAATCTGCAAGGAAAAAGTATCAATAATTTTATTTTGCCTAAATCTTTTAAATAAAGACTTGGTAATACGAGTGTTGGTGTCGTTTTATATTTTTAATGTCGTTTAATGTCATTTCACATTCTTGATGTCATTATCGTTATGTTACAAGTACTCACTATTTGTCGTTTCGTTCGTTACTTGTACTATAGCACGTAATAGCTAGGTTTCGGAAGATATTTTGAGAAATACATTACAGAGCACTAGCTATTCCACTTATCGTGATGAATTTTCTTTATTAACTTCTTGCTGTGTCAGGCCAAAAAAAAAAAAAAAAAAAAAAAAACAAATAAAAAATAAATAAACTTCTTGCTGCGTCAGGCAAGACCCCTCAACTTTATATTATTCCGAATTTATCTTTGTGAACTTTAAAAACTCACGTTTCCTCCTCAATTTTGAATTAGTCTCACTAAATCCTCATTCCAAAAAAAAAAATCATTAAAAACAAATGGCAAAAAGTACATGAATTCACTTAACTTCTTTTTCCATTTGTTTTAATGGAATTACAGAGTTCAAAACTAATCAAAATTAAGGGTGGTCAGGGAAAAATGAAAGTTTTTAAAGTTCAAAAAATAAAGTGAAAATGACCTTACATTTTAGGGGTCATAGGTGAGAATAATTCTTTTTTTAATAAGCAACAATTTTATTAAAAAGAAAAGTAAAAAATCTTACAAAATTCAAACATAAAAAGCCTAACCAAAAAAAAAAAAAACAAAAAACAAACCAAAAATAAGCATAAAACAACAAAGAAGCAACCGAAGAGTAAAATTTAAGATTTTCTCATTTTTAAACCATTTCCACTGCGAGCTTCAAGCATGTAGGATGACTTTTTTTTTCTGAATTATCATTCAATTCTTTTCCCTCAAATATCAAGTTCAGTAAAAAAAATTTCCAAGAACACAACAATAATTTTTGCCACCTTTTGAGCAAAGTATGAGATTATTGATTTTTGGTGCATTATCCATTTTAATGCTTCAATCTAAGAAAGAGTTATCATTTAGTAGACTCTCCAAAGATTTTCTATTCATATATACCCTGCAGAGAATCTGATTGTTAAAGTATAACTACATCGAAAGGACTAGTTATAAGACTAACCTCTAAATTGATACATATAAACTCTAAACATGCACGGTGCACCATAGGGTTCAAATTCGATGACACTTTTTGTACCCTCCTTAGTTGTTTGAATATCTGAATGGTCAATAATTTTGTTTTGTTTTTGGTAGTCTCAAAACTGTTAGTCTCATCTAAATTTTCTTTCACAAAAGTAACAACATTTTCAGAAACTGACTTCGTCTTCATCGACTCCATCAATTATTGTCTAAACAATCATGACCACATCCTCATTTATTTTATTAGCTTTCTTAGACTTATCATGATCGTTATCCGGAGTTTCAATATTTTGACTTAATTTCATGAGTATCAACTGCTTCCGGCCGGTGTTCTTAAACAATCTTTTTTATGCACATATAAGATGAGAATCATGGAAACCATATCCTTTGCAATGGATTAACGTATCAATCTAAGAAAAATTATTTCCAAGCAAAATGTAATATCATGATGTGAAACTTGAATAATTGTATATGATTCATATTCACACAAGTATAATACAGCTAATATGCCCAAGGTATTAAAGAAACGGAGGATTGTGGAGTATTTTATTATTTAAAAAAAAAAAAAAAAAAAAAAGCTAACGTACTCAATTGATTCAAGGCCTTTTTTTTTTTTTTTTTTTTTTTTTTTGTTTCTTTAATATCAGCTGGCTGTTTTTCTTTTAGAGAAATCAACTCAATTGGATTAAGTAATGTGTTATTTTTCTATCCGATTAGGGGTGACCGCGCTTAGCATGATCCGAGCACATTGATAGACATTGAACATGGGAAGTCATTGACCCGTATACGTTTGAATTCTCAATCAGAATTATTTTTAATTTAATTAATTACATATATGGCAAATATATGGCAGACTGATCGTGGTATAACAATTATAACGTTTTTGGATTGGGGCTGTTATTTTCATGTAAACTCTTTTTTAAAGCAAACAGATGTTGATTTAACATCTTTATTGGTGGTTTTACGCTCTGGATAATGTCGCTCTTTTTCTTTTCGTGATTTTTATGGTCAAGAATTTTTCCGTGTTGAGTTTAGTTTGTGTTTGTTTTGTCCGAATCACTCATTCTTTTTCTTTGTTCAGATTTTTATTTATTTTTTTTCCTTTCAGATTTCTTCCGTGAAGGTTAACGAGGATTTTGAGATATCCTTAATTTGGGATATAGTTTGAACATAAGGCCTCCTCTCTTTGGACTTTTCTCTCTCTTTTCATGAATAATAATAATAATAATAATATTTTGAGCGAGTCTTTGGCATATATAGGATTGGATTGGAGTTCTAGTGGGTGCCGAGTACGTTATTGAAATGTACCAAATTTTCTTAATGCTAGTTGATCTCCCGCATTTAAAAATAAATAAATACACATAAACAAAAGCAAACTCAGGAATTGAAATTAGGTCAGCCAATCTATATTCTATGCCTCCTTAATTGAGTATACAACTCTAGTGTGTGCATGTATGTACTTATTTATTTATTTATTTATCTCCAAAAACAAGAAAAAGATATCAATGTGGGTTTTGATCTATACGGGCATAAAAATATATAAATATATATTTCTTTGTCTTAGCTTACTTTATCTTTATATTGCCTATCTTTTTCATTGCCTTTTGGAATCCATTAAATATCCCAAAACTCCTTTTTTTTTTTTTTCGCATGCATCAATTCTTGACAAGATATATTGTGTGTGTGTGTGTGTAGTGCTAAATGACATGCAAAATTGAGAGAGACCCTACTCATGCAATATAATTAGCTCAATCTTTAAGCGACACATGCACGCGTGTGTTTTTCTATTTGCAATTTGTATATGTAAAACATATATATCAATCACTATAATATAATTACTGGTGTACACTTGTCGAGCTAAATTGATGTAGCTCGTTAATGACGAACAACATGATTGGCTAAGCCTTGGACTGCTTTTTCTTTCTTTTTTTCTTTCTTTTTGTTTTCCTTTCTTGTTCACGTCTTTCTTAAAGAATGGTCGTGCAATCCAAGGCTACGAATTATTTTGCTAGCTAGCTAGTCCAAAGCAACATCTCAGTGAAGCAGCTTTTGTTATTAATAAAGGCTAGTATACGATGCGTGGTTTAAACGTTTTTACTTCCCAAACATGTTATTAAACACTTTGGGAAAGTAGGAATGTATTGATGCTATGCCTATGCCTTCGAGTGCAGCTACTTTTTTTGGGGTAGAAATTAACTTGTATTCTGCTGATTCAAGCTTTGAGTCAATGAAGCTTCTTGTCCTGATATATGACGAGTTTTCAAAAAAGAAAAATTCATTCAATTATCTAACTTACTACAACCGTCAGATTTACATCTCACGATTAAAATAATAGTATCTATCAATAATAGAGTAACCATTAAAATCACACATAAGATGATTACAGACTTAATCTAACGATATTTATCTCTATACTCATATTCGACTCTCATACTCCCTTATTTTAATCTCATTTTATGTCATTCTAATAATATCATGTCACATAAAATTACAATATCATGTTATTTGAAATAATATGTCACATCAATATTAATTTAGAGTGTCATGCAATTAAATTAATCAATTTGGTATGATAATTTCTTATTAGTTAAAAAGAAAGGGAATGAGAAAGGAAGGATATGCGAGCCTAATATGAGTGTAGTTTTTTGTTAGTGAAAAATTAGGGGGCATGATATTCGAAAAGTAGTCAACGTTTGTATGACTTAAGTGGAAGTAATTGCTACAACATATAATTGAGTTACTATAAATATGCTAGAAGGTGGTATTCATATTCATGCCAACTAATTATAATGGTCAAACTAACTCTTGAAAGAGACTTCTTCGGTAGGCCTCCCACTAGCAATATTAGTTTCTGATCATTAAATTTGGATTAAAAAAGTATACAAAAAAGATAGTTTCTAATACATATATGATGGTTGAAAAATAAAAAATTATTGATAGTTTATTTTTTCTAATCCTAATTAACTAGAGAAACTCCTCTGAATAAAACATAAGAAGGGTAAAAAAATAAAAAATAACGTTAGTAGTTAATTTGTTGGTAAATCCTTCTATGAGTTGACTGTCTTGCTCAGAGCCCAATTAATATAGTTGCCAATATTGTTGCAGAGCTTGGGTAAACTACACAATCATGTATAATTAAAGGTAAATATAAAACATCGAATCCCAAACAAAATACACATAATTGAAAATAGGAAACTAGTGACTCCATTTTTTTAATTTGACACGGAAAATCATGCATACATGATAGAGGTGATCTATCATTCAAGATCTTCAAATCATCATATCCTTGTAAACCACTACTTACAAAACAACAAAATGAGTACCACATGATCCAATTGGACAAATTGGACCAATATATTTGTAGTAGTACTCATGATGACACAAGTACTAGAGTAGTACTAGCACTACTTGATGATCAAGTTTCTTATTTTTCATACAAACTCTCCAACTTGATCACTTCCGTTGACAACTTTCTCCTTCCTCTCACCACCACCACTCCCATTGAACACAAAGTCCAAGTTGTAGAGCACCGGGACCATGGTGAGGGAGCATAGGAAGACGAGGACCGGGCCGAAGATCCAAAGCAGGAGCGGTAGGGCGGCGTAGAAGAGGCGGTTTCCGATGGTGTTGAGGAGGTAGCCCTTCTCCAAAAGCTCGGCGATGTAGGCGGTGGTGACTAACGACGTGTCGTCTTGTGGGCTGTTGATTAGGATGTTGACCTGGTTGATGAAGCGGATGGAGAGGGAGTGGCACAGGAAGGAGAATAGGAATATTGTGAGGAGAGTCACGTACTTGAGGGCCACCATGAAGTCCCCGTGGGCCCCATAAACGGTGTCGTTTAGTGGCTTCTTCACGCTGTACGTGCTGCTTATAACGGCTGCCAGTCCTGAGCATAGAAGTATGGATGTCGTGGCCATCAACGTTGATCCCATGATTGTGTTCCTAAGGGTTTGCACCGCCAGAATGTTTTTCTTCTCATTATCCTACAAAATTCAAGAAAATAAAAATGCATTAAAATAATAAATATTATACAATATGCAGTACATTATATTTATTTATTTATTTATTTATATCTTAAAAATTTGAATTTTTTTAATAAGTACTATATCATGAAAATGATGGTATCATTTGATAGTTATTGATTGTAATGCGCACGTTACATTTAAACTCCATTTCTTATTATTTACATTATTAATATATTTATTGATTGGATTCTAGCTAGAATTGTGGATATTATTGTTCCCAGGTATAGGATTCCAACGTCATTAGATTTCAAAATGTTGGAAAATCTGGCCCTTTGTGTGTTGAAATGGTCATATATATGAAAAAGCAGGAATAATTAGCTATAGGGGTGAGTGGTGTTACTGTGTATATACACACACACACACACACACACATATATATATATATATATATATTTACACCCGGCGGTAAATGATTGAAGCTAGGTGACGCGTGATGCAACAGACCAGAGTTGGTAGGAGTGGAAAGAAATTAGAGAAGGGCATGCATGCTTTACACAGTCATATTGCATATTAGTTCCAGTTGGGACTTGGGAGCAGTGCTAAACAACTAATTAAAGCAGAAACCAACTGAAGCATACAACAGGAGGAGCATTATTCTTTAGGAAGTTACAAAGGGTGCTGAATCTACTTGTGGGTCATCACCATTACTCATGATGAGTACAACTTTTTTGAGAATAATGCTAAAGATTATATATACCACTAATTTGGTTATGAAATTAATGTTTGTTTTCCAAGTATATATAATTCGTACAATAACTCAACGTATTATACATTTATGTATTAATTTGTCACGTTTGTTCAATATCCTTCTCATAGTTATAAATTTTCCTAGCTGCAATTTATGTATAGTTTTGGACACACATGTAGCTATAATATATTGCTTTTACTATATAAATACCGGTGGACCATCTTAGGTTGATGTGACGGCTGTGTTTTTAACATTTTTGTGGATTTGTTGTGGTGTGGCGAAAAGATGATAGACAACCTAAGAGTACAATGATCTCCACCCAATAAAATCTGAGTGAAATATTAGGATGCCACTTGGTATAGCTTCTTTATGTTGCACCTGGAATAATCTGGGTCCTTTTCTTTTCTCCTTTTGGGATACTCTCATGTTATTTAATTTATTCCATCATTCATTATATTCCTTGTTTTTTTTTTTTTTTGGGCTCAGGAATCATTCATTACATTATTAATTCAACTCGTGAACCTTTTAAAAAGCCAATAATATCATGGAAACTGCTCTATCTACTCAATTATGTGGAATGGTGACATATGTTCAACCTTTATTAATTTAATTAAGAAGAATTCGTTATGTTGGGGAAACTAACTGTGCTTTTCGAGTAAAACGTACTCCATTGATATGAAAGAATTTTGTTTAGACATCTTTGGCAACTAACATTACTACATCAATGAACATATCACAAATGGTAGAAGTAATAAGATAGTGATATGGACATTTTCTGATGCCAGTTGCTCTTTCTCTCTTCGATTAAAAAATAAAGTGATATGCACATATTATGTATGTGTATATGCGTATGTATATGTACGTAAACGTACCTTGACAATGGCGGAGACCCAAAAACGACGTCCGTTTGCATTGATTCCGATGATGGTGCTTTCAGGCTGAGTCCTAACCTTGTGCCATAACCACACATGATAACCAGCCACTATTAAGAACCCTAAAGGAACGAGTATCACATCCAAATAACATGGCCTCCACTCCATATGTATATCTTTCTTTATTATAACCTAGCTCTCTCTTCTCTCTCTCTCTCTCTCTCTCTCTCTCTCTCTCTCTCTCTCTCTCTCTCTCTCTCCCCCCGTCTCTCTCCTTGCTTAGTTTGTTTCTCAACTACTAGTCTTGATATATAGTTACTGCATGCTGTATGTATGACGAGTGCTGTCACTCTATATATAATATTTCTTCTCTCTATCTCTCCACTTCGGGGACTCGGCAGCTAATATATATAGTATAGCAAAAAAAATAAAAATGTATGTAGACTGGATTAAATGCGTAGTTCAAGGAATAAGTTTTTGATGATCCGGCCATTGGGAGAGAGAACTTAAAATGAAGAGGCAAAGTACGCCAAAAGCAACAACAACAAAAAAACTCCCCCCCACTTTATTGCTAAATTAAAGGCTTGTATGAGAGCCTTATTTTGTGGTGAGTTTTCTCCCACTACCCACCACTTTTTTTTTACCCCTTTCTTTTTGTTTATTATATATATTTTTGAGTATTTTATTTCTTTCTTCTTTTCTTTTCTTTTCTTTTTTTTTTTTGGAAGTTTTTCTTTTAGGAAGTGCAAATGCCTCTTTAGACCACTATCTTGTCTTTGTTCTTTGTTCTTTTGCATGAATTATTGTTTAAGTAGTGTATGTGTTTGTGTGTACACTCCCATAATATATCCATTTAGTCTTGCAAAAATTATCACTTCTACTATGAGTGACTTCAACTGTTGGCGAGTGCAAAATATATGTCCTTATACGCCAAAGTTGAATTCACAAACAAAGTGCTATTTCTATAGGGTTTATATATGCACTCAACTCTAAAAATGAACCTCCAACTTATAAAAGAAAATGATCATCAGATGCAAAAAAAAAAAAAAAAAACAAAACAAAAGCATATAAATTTGTTTAAACTTTAATTTGCCTATGTAGATGTGACTCTTTAGCCTGAGGGCATTTTTGTAAACTCTAAATATTGTTGTTTAGTCAGAAAAAGATTATCGATAGCTGAAAGGTAAATTTTAATTTATTAGTTATATAGGAAAACAGAGTGCAAAAAATCTTGGCATATTTGGATATGTAGACTGGGAAATCACTAATTATCAAAATTAGAAAAGACTAGACTGCGCTGAACTGAAGGTATTGACTTATTTATAAGAACGCCTTTCTTTGGGGGACTAATCATGAGAGAGATTAAAGAGAGAAAAAAAAGGCACAATATTTATGTATTGTAACAACAATTTTAATATTGTCAAAAAACAATGTTGTTCATAAACTGCTTATACGGATAGCATGCTTATGGATGATACTAGTGGCTTTGTTTGGTATTGTTTTCTCATCCTAAAATCAGCTTCTGCTGGTAGCAAAAACTGATTTTAGTGTTTGGTAAATCTCCTCAAAAGTACTTTTTAAAAAATTTTTGAAGAATTTACAACCAACATCAGAAGCAGCGCCCTAAAGATAGTTTTAGCTTTTAGATTGTCTAGGAATCAACATAGTACAATTAATAAAACTTTCATAATACCCCTAATGAAATTTAAAATTTACAATCTTCCTAATCTATAATATAATATAATAGTAATATTGTAACAAATAATATCATAATTATATTAATAACTCTAATATTATTATTTTATCATATAATATGATATTATAATAATATTATAATAATTTTAATAATATGATAT